AGCCAGCCATTATTATTTTATTATTTTTGAAAAAAAAAATTGTTCAGATTTTAATTGATGTGCAAAATCGGGTTACATAATTACATCAACTCCAAAGAATGCTTATCTGATAGCTTTTGACTAGTTCTCCAATTTGTTGTTGAGATAATTCTATAAAAAACAAGATTTTAGATGGTAATGGACAAAATTCTCTAAAATTTTAAATGAATGAATGATGTATTATAATTTTAATTTTATTTAGAAATAATAATATTTTTAAACAAGGCAGATTTATTTCGCCGCAGAAAATCATAGATGTTGAGTTGATCTGCGATTGTCTTCCCCATCACGTGAATAATTTTTTTTCAATGGAATTCAAAGATTTGGATCCAAGACTTTCCCGTGCATTATCGAAACTTAATTTTCATAAACCTACACTCATTCAAGCAAAAACTATTCCTTTAGCTTTATCCGGAAAAGATATATTAGCAAGAGCAAGAACAGGAAGTGGTAAAACAGCTGCTTACTGTTTGCCCATTATTCAAAAAATATTGAATGTAAAAGAAGTAAGTTTTGTTGATTTCAAAGATAAATTTTAGAATAAACTGTCAAATTTTTTCAATTTCTAATTATTTATTATCCAGAGTATTTCCGAGTATTCTTCAGAACGCATGGCAACACGAGCACTTATTCTTGTTCCAACACGGGAACTTGCAGAACAAATAACAAAGCATATTAATGATTTTCTGCTCTATTGTTCTAAAGAAGTAAAGGTTATAAATATTGCTAATAATACACCCTTACAACTTCAAAGGTGACCATTTTTTGTTTGTTTGTTTTTTTTTGTGTAAATTATATCTCTCTCTCCAATAACTATTATTAATACATTTTTATTAAAGACCAATATTATCAGAATTACCTGATATAGTTGTCTCGACACCAAGTAGAGTTTTGGCACATCTTGAATCACAAGTTTGTAAAAAATATTGTTTGCTAAATCCTTATTTTTTTTATAATTGCATTTAATTATGTTAATATTTCATCTTCTTATTAAAGAGTCTTGTAATTAATAACTCACTTGAATCACTTGCTATTGATGAAGCTGATCTCATACTTTCATATGGATACGAGGAAGATATAATGAAAATTTTGACCTATATACCAAAAATGTTCCAATGTTACTTGATGAGTGCCACATTGTCTAAGGTGTTTTATATAATTTTTTAATATTTAAAAGATCTTTTTAAAATCAATTTCTAATATATATGTGTGTGTGCATGTGTGTGATTTTTTTATATTCCAGGATGTAGAAAATCTTAAACATTTATTATTGCGTAATCCAGTACGGTATTTAATAACTCAATGTATATATTTTTTAATTAATTAAGTTCAAAACCTCAATTATGACATAATTATAAAATTTACCATATAGGCAATATTAACATTACATGAACAAGATGAACCTAATTTGCTCACTCAATATTGTATTAGGTAATGTCTATAAAATAATTATTTGAATAATTTAATAAATTTGTAAAAGCTGAAATTGATTTTTCTTCTAAAAAAAATATTAATCAATTAAAGAAACCTTTTTTGATATAGATGCTCAGAAATAGACAAATTTCTATTAATATATGTTGTGTTAAAGCTTGGTCTTATCAAAGGCAAATGTCTCATATTTGTAAATGATATAGATCGATGTTATCGTCTTAAATTATTTTTAGAACAATTTTCAATTAAAAGCTGTGTATTAAACTCTGAATTACCTTTAAATTCCAGGTTTGTGCATATATATATAAGAAAGATATTAATATTGCCCCCCCCAAGTTGGTTTATAATTATATATAATGTATTTTGTTTAATAAATATATTTATTTATACATAGGTTTCATATTGTACAGGAATTTAATAAAGGAATATATGATTATATTATTGCAACTGATGAAAGTGATTTAAAAAGTGAAAAAGACAGTGATAATGAATCAATTGAGGAAAATGATGATGGTAAAATATATAAATTAAATCTTATTTTCATTGATTATTGCTTAATAAATTATAACTCATCACAGCTAGTTGAAATATCATAGAACAAGAAGAAGAAA